TGGGAATGTGGGATTCCTGCTAGCTTTTATTTTTACCAACGCTTAAAAAATAAAGAGAAAATCAAATCTGCTTTATATACACAAAAAAATGGGCCGAAGTTCCAAGCTGATGCAACTGCTCGTCTGCATCGGCGACCGCAGCCAGCAGTGGTGACCAAGGGAGGTACCAATGGAGGACACTCGGATGTGACAAGACCCCAGTGCAGGGCCCAGCTGGGTCCGTGGTGGAGCCGTTGTCCCCATCACCTTGCTGTCTGCTCTCAGCTCTGCAGACCAGCCCGAGGCAGGACCCTACCTGCTCCCTTATAGTCTTTAGAGCAACCAAAACAGGGCCAACAGGGCTATTAGGAGTGGGCAGGAGAAATGGAGTTTTGGGCTGTGATTCACCAGCAGGTAGGAGGGGACAGCAGGGACCTGCCTGGTGGCCCTCGCATGAGGGGGAATGTCAGAGCAGCCCTCGCGTGCTGCTTATCCCCAGCATGGGTGCACTCATTACTGGCCCGAGACACGTGGTGAGGACACAACCCAGTGTTCTTTGGGTCTTGAAGGAAGTAGGAAAACCCCACGGCGCTGTCTGTGGAAACCACCCCCTCCATCACCAGCTCTTCATCTCCCCTGCCCGCCCCAGCCCCAAAGAGCAGCCTCTTCCCGTGCCTGCGGCTGCCGCAGTCCCCGCAGCTCAGTGCAGCTCAGCAAAGCCCTCCCGCAGCACCGCAGCGATACGTTTGCTGGATGGAGATTGGCACGGCTCCATGTGGAGCTTCACGGATGCACCTCGGCTCCCGCGCTGCAGCAGAGCAGAGATGTTATCTGCATGGAGAAGGAGGCTCCGGACCCAATGCAGCACGAGCAGCGCGGGGTGCAGAAGGAGGTGCCCTGCACGGTGCAGGCCTGCGTGGGGAGCTGGCCAAGGCCGTGCTCCTGCTCAGCACCGTTGTGCTGGTTCAAGAAGGGCTCCTGTCCCCCCTCAGGCCCCTCTGTCTGCAGCCCCATCAGCCAAGGGGCCCGACTAGCCCCATCCAGCTTGCTCTTCCCTCTGCATCCCCCTTCCCAGCAGGGCAAACCCAGCAGAGCAGTTCAGCTTTGCCTTGAGTCCAGCCGAGTCTCTTTTCTCATTCAGTCTTGCTTGAACTGTCCCAAGAGCTTCAGGCCGCTGGATCTCCAGGAGGTCCATCTTATAAGCTCCATGTGATGTGCTGCAGGAAAGTCTTCCCCACCACAACCTCACACCTCCAGCCAAGACCCCCTCCCTTCCTCTCTAATAATATTAATATCCTGCCTTGGTCTGTGGACCCTGGAGGCCAGATCAGTGTGTATTTCCTGTAGGAGAGCAATACTACTTAACCTAACGATTTTGTATGTGGGCAAGAGCCCACAAGCCCCTTGGGAAGGTCACAGTGCCACCTTGCCAAGCCTCTTGGGCTGTCCCGTTAGTTCAGTCAGGGAACATTGTGTCTTGGGGAAGGGACTGTCACTCTTCAGAGCACCCTGACCATCTCGGCTCTGTTGCATAGTGCTTATCTCTCGGCGTCTGCAGCTGCTGCGGGGGCTAAGGCATGAATTCCTCCTTGATGGTCAGTGGGGAGGAGGAGACGAGGCTGGGGGCACTGCTGCTGCACAGGCCCCCGATGGGTCCTGGGGTGCCCAGGGCTGGTGGTGTGGGGGTGGTGGTGCTCGTGGGCTGGCTTTGCTGCTGCATCTTCTTTTTGTTCACCTTCCTCTCCTTCGCCCTCCGGTTCTGAAACCAGATTTTCACCTGTAGGGAGAAACAGACAGTGGCAAAAAGAGGAGAGAGCCGAGTGCGACAACCCTTGTAGCATCCCCGGGGAAGCGAGAAATATCTGGGGGTTTCAGAGAGGGACAAACTACGGATCAAGGGAGAACCATGGGACAACGTGGTGGTGAGCGACAACCCTTGTAGCACCCCTGGGGAAGCGAGAAATATCTGGGGGTTTGAGAGAGGGACAAACTATGGATCAAGGGAGAACCATGGGACAACGTCGCCTCCTCCTGCAGCCCAACTTGCTGCATCTCCCTCCGGGATGGAGGTTTCCCACCAGGCTCCATCGGGAAGAGGTCCCGGTGCACTGACCTGCCGCTCGGTGAGCCCCAGCGCGGCGGCCAGCTCGGCTTTGCGGCGGATGGTGATGTAGCGGCTGTAGTGAAACTCCTTCTCCAGCTCCAGGCGCTGGTGGTCCGTGTAGACCACTCGGTACTTGTCTTTTGTCCTGGTCTTGCCTAGCAGAGACAACGGAGTGGGGTTAGGTGAGAGGGGAGCCGGAGGGGCAGCAAGAGGGGTAGGAGCATCCCCAAAGGGGCTGAGGTGTTGCATGAAGCCATGGGAAGCTCCAGAGATCCAGCAACGCCCTGGGGACTGTCTGGTGAGAGGGAAGAGATGCTCCTTCTAATGGCATGGTGGCCCAGGAGCTTGAAGCACAATGTGGTGGGGTCCAACCTGTATCACCACCACCATGAAGCCACCCCACAAAGCAGCCCCGGCGTGGGGGCACCACAGACCTTGGGCAGCCTCTCAGTTTAACAGCATCCTCAGATGAATGAGGATCATTGCTTTTCCTGCGAGTTTTGGCACCCTTTCGAGGAAGGCTGGCCATCCCTGGGAGTTTGCTGACAAAACCATGGTGCTTTCCCCTGCAGAGGAGCATAAACACAGCTCAAGTACTTGCTGTTCCACTCCACATCCCCAAACTCTGTTGCAGGGCAGCTGGAGGGACATAGCCAGGTTTTCAGCTGCGCAGACCCTGTCCTCCCAACTGGGAATCCAGCCAGTTGTCTGCCTGGAAGTCACAGGTTATTGGGTTTGCCTGTGTTTTCCTGAATTTCTGCAACAGAGAGCAATGCCAAAGGGCTCTGTGGATCTCCCCAAGGCACCAGCATTGACAGGGAGGCAGGATTCGGCCAGCTGCTTTGGCCCAGTAGCTTCCTCCTTTCTCAAGACAAAACCCAGAGTTTTTGCTTCAGATGCTCCAGTAGGATCCTCAGGGGCTCTGCCCCATTCCTGCCCCTGCTCCAGCCCCTGCATCTGTCAGGAGTCAGTGGAGGCACCGCTTCCCAGCACAGTCCATCCTCTCTAGGGTTCTCTAACCTCGCTCTTACCCTGCTTTCCCAAGAAAAAAATAGCAATGCTCTCCATGCTCATCCTTCTGTTCATTTGCATCCACTAGTAACTCCCTGGCATGTTGACCAGTTTGGGTCAAATCTGCTGGGCAGTGAGAAGCACCAGAGCCATCCTGGCTAGCTCCGCAGAAGCAGATGGAATGAAGCAAAACTCTGTCCCACAGAGAGAGATGGCAGTAGGGACTCAACCTTGGTTAGACATCAGAGAATCCCCACACAGTGACACCTCCGCCTCCAGCATGCAAATCTGCTTGTTTACCAGGCAACTCAATTTTTATTTTTAAGCATCTCAGAATGTGTTAGGAACATCGTAAGCTGATCGCTCGGAGCTGCACACAAGCTTCCCGGGATAACCGCTCCTCCGGAGCCCGGAGCTCTGGCTCCAGAGCAGCGCTGGGCTGTTGGCCCAAGCAGGGCAGCAACAGGGAAAAGCTGAGGCCCATTGGGATTGAAGCCCAGGGCAAGCCCTGCTCCCGGAGCCCTCAGGCCTCCCTAAACCGTAGACGATGGATGAGATGAATCTCTCCATCCGCTTTATCCTCGGTGGTAGAAAAGATCCAAAGAAAGTGGAGAGCCCTGCTCGTCCCCTCTCCTTGAGAGCAAACCTGCTTTTGGAGGCAGAGAGGGACTATGCAAGTAAAAAGCAGATGTATAAAGGGATTTGTCCAGACTTGGCATGTGTAGGGAGATGTCTGCAGGCAAGCGGGATGTCCCACAGCACAGCCGTGCTTCATGTCACCTGCAGCCACCACATGGGTCTGTCCAAGTGGAAGGGAAGCCAAAGAGGGTTTTGGGGATTTTTGCAAGTTTTTTTTTTTTTCCTTTCCTGGGCGTTCGTCTGCTGTTTCCCATAAAGAGGAGCTGGTGGCTCAAAACGAAAGCGAGAGATAAGCCGGGACAGCCGCACCAGCACCGCCGCTCCTCCCGCGGGATCCCTGCCTTGTGCTTCCATCTCCCGCAGCTCCGCGGGGCCTCCTGAATTGCTCCTCGGCACCCAAAGGCCACCTGCATGCACACCCCAGAGCCACCCATGCCAAATTTGCCAACGCATCAATTCCCAAGGAATTACAAAACAGGGGAGCTGCCCCGGCTGAGGTTTACACAGGGTTTAGCGGCTCCATGAGAAATCATGCTCCCTCGCTCTTCCTGCTGCAGACTCAGGGACTCCTGCAGGTTTTCTCCTTTCTCATATAAATTTATTTTTTTAATTACCTGAATATCTAAGCCAAATGAAAACAGAAAACTTCCTGAACTGATGATGCTTTAAAAATTTGAAGTAGGTCTTACTTGAAATGGTACTGCTTGCATACCATGGCTTGGAGGGGGAAAAAAAAATAGTTGGAAAGAAATGAATTCACAGATAAGTTAAAAAAATGCTAAAGAAAGGAGATGTGAATGCCACCTGAGCCATGAATCTTAGCAGGAGTTATTATTTGCTACTCCAGCTGTAAATAGATCCATCACTGCTTGTTCTTTATTTATTCCCTCTTCATCATTTGTGCTGGACCAATTCTCTTCTTTGTCTCAAGTCTCCCAGATGCCCGTTCATGCTGGTGAGGCATCGTCGTGTGAGCGGGATGGGAAGCTGGTCCCAAACCGCTAAACGTCAAGCAGCAAATAGTCAAAGCAGAGCGTTCACAAGCAAGCCAGAGATGGAAAGTTATTCATCTCAACTAATTGCTGTTTTCAGCTATGTTTGCTGAATTCAGGAATGTATTGTGGGTGATTCAAAGGGGGAAAAAAAAAAAGAAAAGGATTTGCAAGAAATACTATTGACAATGAATAATTCAACTACCTTGAATATGAATGCTCAGTTGCACTTAACTCCCTCTTGGCAACCTTTCATGGCTCTGTGAAAGGAAAGAGGGAACTTGGGACAAGGCACCTCAGCTCCTGGGCAAAGCCCTCCAAAACCCATGGGACGCATGGAGCAGCCCAGGGATGGAGCAGCTCCAGCACTGCCTTCTCCTCCCCGGGAGGAGGTAACAAACCGTGGAAGTGGTGAACCTGCCCCAGGTGCAGGTGCAGAGGGCTCCATGGGTCTGGTGAAGCCCCTTCTGCCAACCCTGGTGCAAGGGTGGGCAACTGGGGGTGCAGTGAGCTCTGATTTCCCCCAGAAAGTCTTGGGTTTACTGCAGATCTTCATGCAAGGCAAGACACCATCCCCTCGTGCAAGGGGACCTCGTGCCGCTCTTGAGGACAACGAAGCAGACCTTCCTTGCAGCATGGCCACTAGCCCCGTCCAGCCCCGCTCTGCATTTTAACTCCCTCTCTCTTGTCCCCAAAAGACCAGGCAGACAAACAGCTTGGGCAGTTGAATCAAGACGCTCACAGGACCAGTGGGGAGGATTTTGGCTTCAGGATCAAGGAAGGGCCAATGGCTGCCTGGGGAGAGGGTATCATTCCCCTCGTTAATGTATAACCCTAATAGCACTCACCTTAGCCATGATTAGATAAGGGAATAGCTTTAATGTGCTGTACAAACCCCAAAGGACACACTCCCGAGTGTGCTTGCACACTCACGCACACACCCCATGGGCACCAGGGTCCCGCTGCCCCACCACCATCCACTTCCCACGCTCCTGCCACCAGCATCAGCCCCAGGGTTGGTCCTACAGCAAATTTGACCAGGGACGATGGGTCCCTGCCCCTGCAGTGTCATGGTGGGCACCTGGCCATGCAGCCCCAGGCAGGATGGCGCTCTTGCTGTCTCCTGGCTAGTGCAGGGGCGAGGAAAGCGTCCTGTGTGCCGCGGTGCCGCTGGAGAGGAGCAGAGCCCCGCGTGCTTTGCTAAAGGTGCCTCTACAGCCCTGTGCCACGTGCTCTAGGTGACCCTGCGTGTGCAGGGGGGTTGGACTAGATGATCTCTAGAGGTCCCTTCCAACCTTGAGCATTATATGATGATGATGATGATGATTTCACGGGCCAAACGCTGTGCTTGGAGCAAAGCGAGTCCCAGGAGATGGGCACAGCCAGCAGGTGCTTGAGCTGCGCTGCTGCTGTTGGGCCAGGCTCCGGTCCTGGCCCGGTGCTGTTTGCATAGCCTTGTCCGCCCATCTGTCTGCACCACGTGCCTCCTGCCACACTCTAATGGCGCTTCTGTATTTTCATATGGAAAAGTATTAGGTGTAAAAGCCCCGTTGCTGGTGAGCATCGAAGGAAGGACCTGTCTGAGCGGAACAAGGCTGTTGGGGCTAGGCCCCCCAGCCAAGTGCTTTTAGTGGGTGATAAAACCGCTTCTGAACGAGCAGAGTCTCATTCCAAAGAGGATGAACTCCCTGCACTTCAAAGTAAGAAGAGCTGCTACATCACGACTCGCTGTCTGTGCCCAGAAGGAGCTTCAATGGAAACTTCCATCCATCCAGCACGGGTTAGTCCGTGTTACGGATGGAGAAACTGAGGCATGGAGGCAGCTTTGATCCAGAGAGGACTCCAGAGTCAGAGCTGTGGGCTGCAAGCCCTGTTGTGACCCCCCTGGTCAGCTTGAGCCCATGGCCCTGATACCATTCCCAGGGGGAAATCCTCCACGGCTGCCAGGAGAAAGAGGGAGCAGCTGTCCCGTGACAGGGACACCAATCCCAGGTCACCACGGGTTTTCTCGTAGGACTTGGAAGCACCCGGGCTCGCTGGAGTCAACCTCATGTGGCAGCCAGATGTGCTCCAGTTGTTTCTGGGTGGCAGAGCTGATGTCCCCTCTGCTGAGCGCGGCTGTCCCTGCAGCAGTGCCCGACCAGAGCTGGCCCAGGCCAGGGCTCGCTGCCTCCATCTCATCTCCACCAAAGCACCCTGAGACCTCATCCCTCCTGCATGCTCTGGGCTGCGTAGCCCCCACTGAGTGTCACCAGGCTGGGTGAAGGCACCGCAGCCTCCCACGTGCCCACAGGATCCGTGTCCCAGGTGGACTGTGGGACATGAACCCGTTGCACCTCTCCCAGGAAGCAGCAGGGCAGGGAGTCCACCCACCTTCCCAGTCCCTCTCATGGGTCAATGTCCTCAAATGCTCTTGCTCTGCCCAAGGGTGATGGATGAGGCAACTGAGGCACAATGGAGAGGAGCCATGTGGCCCTCCAGGAGCCCCTCCAGCAGGCACGTCACCTTCACGC